TAGACAGATCAACCAGACAGAAAATTAACAAGGATATCCAGGACTTGAACTCAGACCTGGACCAAGCAAACCTAATAGACATTTACAGAACTCTCCACCCCAAATCCACAGAATATACATTCTTCTCAGCACCACATCACACCTACTCTAAAATTGACCACATAATTGGGAGTAAATCACTCCTCAGCAAATGCAAAAGAACGGAAATCGTAACAAACAGTCTCTCAGACCACAGTGCAATCAAGTTAGAACTCAGAGTTCAAAAACTAACTGAGAACCGCACAGCTTCATGGAAACTGAACAACTTGCTCTTGAATGTTGACTGGGTAAACAATGAAATGAAGGCAGAAATAAAGATGTTCTTCGAAACCAACGACAATGAAGACACAACATACCAGAATCTCTGGGACACATTTAAAGCAGTCTCTAGAGGAAAATATATAGCAATAAGTGCCCACATGAGAAGCAAGGAGAGATCAAAAATTGACACCCTATCGTCAAAACTGAAAGAGCTAGAGGAGCAAGATCAAAACAACTCAAAGTCTAGCAGAAGACAAGAAATAGCTAAGATCAGAGCAGAACTGAAGGAGATAGAGACACAAAAAACCCTTCAAAAAATCAATAAATCCAGGAGCTGGTTTTTTGAAAAGATCAACAAAATAGACAGACCACTAGCCAGATTAATAAAAAAGAAAAGAGAGAATAACCAAATTGATGCAATAAAAAATGATCAAGGGGATATCACCACAGATTCCACAGAAATTCAAACCATCATCAGAGATTATTACAAACAACTCTATGCACACAAACTAATAAACCTGGAAGAAATGGATAAATTCCTGGACACTTGCCTCCTGCCAAGCCTAAACCAGGAAGAAGCCGAAACCCTAAACAGACCCATAACAAGGTCTGAAGTTGAGGCAGCAATTAAGAGCTTACCACCCAAAAAAAGCCCAGGTCCAGATGGGTTCACAGCTGAATTCTACCAGACATACAAAGAGGAGCTGGTACCATTCCTTCTGAAACTATTCCAAACAATACAAAAAGAGGGAATTCTTCCCAAATCATTTTATGACACTAACATCATCCTGATTCCAAAACCCGGCAGAGACTCAACAAGAAAAGAAAGCTTCAGGCTAATATCCATGATGAACATAGATGCAAAAATCTTCAATAAAATACTGACAAGCCGATTGCAACAGCACATCAAAAAGCTTATCCACCATGATCAAGTAGGCTTCATCCCGGGGATGCAAGGCTAGTTCAACATACGCAAGTCTATAAACATAATTCACCACATAAACAGAACCAAAGACAACAACCACATGATTATCTCAATTTATGCAGAGAAGGCCTTTGACAAAATTCAACAGCCCTTTATGCTAAAAACACTCAATAAGCTAGGTATCGATGGAACATATCTCAAAATAATAAAAGCTATTTATGACAAACCAACAGCCAATATCATACTGAATGGGCAAAAACTGGAAGCATTTCCCTTGAAATGTGGCACCAGGCAAGGATGCCCGCTCTCACCACTGCTATTCAATATAGTATTAGAAGTTCTAGCCAGAGCAATCAGGCAAGAAAAAGAAATAAAGGGTATTCAAATAGGAAAAGAGGAAGTCAAATTGTCTCTATTTGCAGACGACATGATTGTATATCTAGAAGACCCCATCGTCTCAGCCCCAAACCTCCTGAAACTGATAAGCAAGTTCAGCAAAGTCTCAGGATACAAAATCAATGTGCAAAAATCACATGCATTCCTATACACCAATAGCAGACTTAAAGAGAGCCAAATCAAGAACAAACTTCCATTCACAATTGCCACAAAGAGAATAAAATACCTAGGAATACAACTAACAAGGAATGTAAAGGACCTCTTCAAGGAAAAGTACAAGCCACTGCTCAATGAAATGAGAGGACACAAACAGATGGAGAAACATTCCATGTTCATGGTTAGGAAGAATCAATATCGTGAAAATGGCCATACCGCCCAAAGTAATTTACAGATTCAATGCTATCCCCATCAAGCTACCAATGACCTTCTTTGCAGAACTGGAAAAAAACCACCTTAAACTTCATATGCAACCAAAAGAGAGCCCGCATAGCCAAGTCAATTCTAAGCAAAAAGAACAAAGCGGGGGGCATCACACTACCAGACTTCAAACTATACTACAAGGCTACAGTAATCAAAACAGCATGGTACTGGTACCAAAACAGAGATACAGACCAATGGAACAGAACAGAGGCCTCGGAGGCAACACAACATATCTACAACCATCTGATCTTTGACAAACCAGTCAAAAACAAGCAATGGGGAAAGGATTCCCTGTTCAATAAATGGTGTTGGGAAAACTGGCTAGCCATGTGCAGAAAGCAGAAACTGGACCCCTTCCTGACACCTTACACTAAAATTAACTCCAGATGGATTAAAGACTTAAACATAAGACCTAACACCATAAAAACCCTAGAAGAAAATCTAGGTAAAACCATTCAGGACGTTGGTGTAGGCAAGGACTTCATGACCAAAACACCAAAAGCATTGACAACAAAAGCCAAAATAGACAAATGGGACCTAATCAAACTCCACAGCTTCTGCACAGCAAAAGAAACAGTCATTAGAGTGAATTGGCAACCAACGGAATGGGAAAAAATTTTTGCAGTTTACCCATCTGACAAAGGGCTGATATCCAAAATTTACAGAGAACTAAAACAGATTTACAAGAAAAAAACTAACAAGCCCATTCAAAAGTGGGCAAAGGATATGAACAGACACTTTACAAAAGAAGACATACTTGAGGCCAACAAACATATGAAAAAATGCTCATCATCACTGGTCATCAGAGAAATGCAAATCAAAACTACACTGAGATACCATCTCAGGCCAGTTAGAATGGCGATCATTAAAAAATCTGGAGACAACACATGCTGGAGAGGATGTGGAGAAATAGGAACACTTTTACACTGTTGGTGGGAGTGTAAATTAGTTCAACCATTGTGGAAGACAGTGTGGCGATTCCTCAAGGACCTAGAAATAGAAATTCCATTTGACCCAGCAATCCCATTACTGGGTATATATCCAAAGGATTATAAATCGTTCTACTATAAGGACACGTGCACACGAATGTTCATTGCAGCACTGTTTACAATAGCAAAGACCTGGAACCAACCCAAATGCCCATCGATGATAGACTGGATAGGGAAAATGTGGCACATATACACCATGGAATATTATGCAGCCATCAAAAACGATGAGTTAGGGTCCTTTGTAGGGACATGGATGAACCTGGAAACCATCATTCTCAGCAAACTGACAGAAGAGCAGAGGATCAAACACCGCATGTTCTCACTCATAGGCGGGTGTTGAACAATGAGAACACATGGACACAGGGAGGGGAGCACTACACACTGGGGTCAGTTGGGGGGAAATAGGGGAGGGAGGGTGGGGGGTGGGAAGCTGGGGAGGGATGGCAGGGGGAGAAATGCCAGATGTAGGTGATGGGGAGGAAGGCAGCAGATCACACTGCCATGTGTGTTCCTATGCAACAATTTTGCATGTTCTTCACATGTACCCCAAAACCCAAAATGCAATAAAATAAATAAATGGAAAAAAAAAATACTTCATAACCAGGATTATTAAAACTTTGTCATCCATTTTACAAATATTCTTTACCAGTTTGTCTTTAAAATTTGTTTTGGGAGTTTTTACCTCTGCACAATCTTTTCCCTATAGTTAACTATAGTTCCTTGCTTTGGTGTTGTCCTCAAAAGATTCTTCCACACCTCAAATAACAGAACTATTCATTAAATTTTCTTCTATTATTTTTTTGGGTCTTTATTAGTTATTTAAATCCTAACTCATCCTGAATTTGTTTTGTTGTAAGTAATAGAGACTCAACTTCTTTTTTTTCCAAATAACAAGTTTTATCCATTTTTTAAAAATAAATAATTTTTTTTCCTGCTTATTTCAAGTATTTCCTTTGTTATATTCTAAACTTCCAGATGCTTGAATGCATTCTAGTGACTGGTCGGTCTGCCTATTATCATTACAGAATCAAACTGTTATAAATATTGTACATTTTTATGGCCTCAAATGTATGGTATAGGAAGTTATCATCAAGCTGCTATAAAGATTTATACGAACTAAAAGGAGAATTAAGTTTTCAAAATGAAGAGTTAATGATCTGAAAGAGGAAGGAGTTATTTGAGAGACACATGGAAAAGACCAGACCTGATAACTACCCATCTAGTACACTATAGAGACTATTCCAGAACAGAGATGAGCTTAGCTCTCACATTTTACCCTTCCATAAAAAATCCCAAGCCTATACTTTTCATTTTGCTCTGTATTTATATAATAAGATTACATAGCTAAAAAAGGAAAGGATTAATAAATTACATATAATGAAATGATATTAGCAGTCTGAATCAAAAGTTTTAGGCAAAAATAGAAAAAAGTAATGATAAAGGTTATCAAAATGAGAAAACTACTTGAGATTTTATATTTTTATTATTGTTTGGTGCAATTTCCTGCCTTTATAATTATCTTTAAAATGCACTGTAGAATCTTTAGATTTACAAATAAACTGAGTAACAGTAACATTCTAAAACAAGAACCGTAAGGGCAACTATGTAAATTACAACTGTAGAATGTAAAAAAGGTAAAATAATGTGAAAGTACTTTAAAAGGTACAAATGGCATGTAAAAATAAAGTTACTTTTACTATGAAAAAGAACTGGCAAAGACAAAATTCACTAATGTGGTATTTATTCCATTTAAAATGTGAAACTAAAATTTGGAATGAAAATATACATAATAGTGGGCTTAATTATAGTAAGTTCCTGATGCAATACACCGTTATATTACCATGTTGTATTTACTTTTCATTCACAAATTTGATACTGCACTTTAATCTACAAAAAGAAAATTCAAAACCACCAAACAATACCTCCAACTTTAAAAGTTCAGGAAAAACTTTTCAGGAAAAATTAATCACCTATGCCAACATGGGCTTCTTGTATCATGCTTACGTCATTAGCACCATCACCAACAGCCAATGTTATAGGTTTCTCAGGTGATATTTTTATTAGTCTTATTACCTGAAAGACACAATGAATTAGTTATTTATGACATAACTTCAATTTTCTGGCATTTATATAAAGTCATTTATCTAAAATGACTCTAGTAAGAACACTAATGAAAGAAATATTTAATTTCACATTAGATAATAATATGCACTGAGGTTCTTTTTTTTTTTTTTTTTTTTTTGAGAGTATCTCAAGATTTTAGAAATGTCTTTCAGAAATGACGTAACAAAACAAGAGAATTATCTTTGGATTTTATGATGAGAAACAAGAATCTCTCAAATACAGCTTAAATATTAGAAGGATTAATAACTGGGTAAAAAAAATGACTGCACTTACTTCAACTGTTAGGCAAAATTTTTTCTTTCTCAGGAAATTATTTTTTCATTTGACATGAAAGAAAAATAATTGTTTCCATTTGTAATAAAATTTAAACATGTTTTAAAAATCAAGATTCAATTCAATGAACTAAAAAAAAACTGTTTCTTTGGAATTCTTGAATGTACTTTGATAAAGAACCTTGGTATTTGCTCTGTTTGATCTCCAGTTTTAGTCTCTATAGACTGAGGTACATGAATTATCAGAACATAGGCACTGTAACAAAATTCCACGAAGCCCCAAAAATTGGACGTCTAATTTATTAGACCTATATGGGAAACAATATTTAGATGTTCACTGCAAAGGGTGTTTGTGAAAAATAGTCTAAGACTTCAAATTCCAAATTTAGACTTATAAAAAATGTTTGCCCGGGCACATGGTGGCTCACCCAGCACTTTAAGAGGCCAAGGCAGGCAGATCATGAGGTGTGGAGTTTAAGACCAGCCTGGCCAACATGGTAAAACCCCAACTCTACTGAAAATACAAAAATTCGCTGGGCATGGTGGCGAGTGCCTATAGTCCCAGATACTTGGGAGGATGAGATGGAAGAATCGCTTGAACCTGGGAGGCTGAGGTTACAGTGAGCCGAGATTGGGCCACTGCACTCCAGCCTGGGTGACAAGAGACTCCGTCTAAAAAAAAAAAATGTTTATATAGGCTTTCACTTGAATCACATAGCTAGCTGAAATGTAAATATTTCCTATATATAAGCTTTACATTACAAGTTAATTGGCTTTTCAACTTTTTGCACTAAAGCTTTATTTATCACTTTATAGCCAAAAGTAACAAAAAATTAACACTTCATAAGAATGTTATATAATTATATATCACTATAACAACAAATTATCACTTCATGAGAATGTAAGAGTAAATGGAGATCAACAGAACCATCTGAAGGTGCAAATGACTGATGTCTCTCCTAGGCTCCTTCACTCGCTACGTAACTAACTTGTGAAACATTGGTTATCACAGTTTAACTTCTGCAAGATCACAAACTGCTACTCATCACAGACTTTCTGGGTCACCGAATAGTTGAAACTCACTGAGAATTCCAAAAGTCTAATGTACATGGTTAAAATTTATAATATGAGATGTGACTGACTCCTAGTAAAATTTATATACTGTATAGCACCAAATAAAACTATGTAAGGCATTAACTTTAAAGAATGTGTTTATATCTAAATATCTTTACGGGACTTTTTATAACCTACATACATACTTTTGCTTTCTGCAGTGGAGCCATACGACAGCATAACACAGCTGAACAATTTCTGCAAACTTCCATAAATAGTTTTTCATGCTCCCTGAGTGCAAGAGATAGGCTGGTCCCATCCACTACCAGTCCATGCTGAATCACATGATCCTCTGTAATTCTAAAAGAGAAAATAATTATATTCTCTGTAAGATAGTCTGAAGCCATATTATTTACACTCATATAGAACACCACATTCTTACTGAGAGATAGATCATTTTCCCACAGCCCTTACTGTTATAAGACTGATGTGTCAGGAAACAAACTCTGCTGCATTACCGTAAGTTTAAAATCAAGCAGAACTGAGTCACTGATATGATGAGTAAAACAGATAATATTCAATTTTTTTGGGGGGGGGGAAACAGGGTCTTGGTTTGTCACCCAGGCTGGAATATAGGGGCTCACTATAGCCCTGATCTCCTGGGCTCAAGGGATTCTCTCTGAAATTTAGCCAATCATGGTGGCTAAACTTCAGCTTCCAAAGTATCTGGGCCTACAGGCATGAGCCACCATGATTGGCTAATTGTTGTTATTTTTCATAGAGATAGGGTTTCACCATGTTGCCCACCCAGGCCACTCTCAAACTTCTGACCTCAAGCGATCTGTCTGTGTCAGCCCCTCAGAGTGCTGGGATTACAGGTGTGAGCCACTATTCCTGGCCTAATAGTCAATTTTACAATGAAATGATATACACAGTAATTATATTTTGTAAAATGCAAATTATAATACATAATCTGAGGATATTCTCCCAAACTGTATGAAAAGTCTTACAAAAATCGAAATATTAAACATTTAGCAAATTCTAATTTAAAAAACTATGTGAAATCAAGAATGTTCAAGAAAACCCATGATCAAGATTTACCATATGTATAACAAGCAAGGAAAAGAATGAAGGAACAATACTGTCATTTGATAGGAAATCTATGATGGATTGTACATGGATAATACCTCACAAGTGGGCATATGCTACATAGGAGCTACTCCAAGTAGTCTCATTGCTGGAAGGTGGGCAAACCACTTGTTGCCAGGAAGAGGTAAGGAGAATACACCAGAATGCAAATCAACAAAATCACTAAGCACACTATTTTATTAAACTGATTCTCCCCTCTTCCCAAGTCTCCTTTGGTAATAACACTTTCTTGAGATTTATATTTTGACATAAGCTCCTTTATGTTGTTGAAAGCCAGTACTCAGTGCAGCACTGTCCTATATACACCTTATATAAAAATGTTTATATAGGTACACCACAAGTACCACAGGCTCACAGAACAGCAGACTCTGCTGAGAACTATCCCTCCATTTAAAAATAAGAAGTGAGAAGACTATTAAATGAGCACAAGCTACAAAAGTTAAACATATATTGATAGATTTTAGTCTTATAATAAAAACTTTTGTAAGTTAAGGTGATATCTTTCATAATATGCCTAATCACTGCTGGGTTGTGCTACAGTAGTAAGTGGTAAGCAATTCACTTTACAGCATAAAATTTTATAAAATGTAGTTTTCTCATTATGACTAACTCTCCAATATCTGAAATCAACACCTATATTGACTTTAGCACAATATTTTATGATTTTTTAGATTTTACGATTTTTTATTTTATTTTTTATTTTACGATTCTTTATTTGGCAATTTGTGCTGTCTCCACTGTCTTCAGCCTGTCCAAAGCACTACCTGAGCAACATGCCTCAGAAATGCTAGCAGTCAAGAGTGAGAGAAAGCAAATCAGTTTTCCTCGGAAACATTCCCAAGGCACATGAAATTAGGTCTTCCTCTGGACAGGCTTCATTAATCATATTATGATCTTACAATCCATGGAATAATATTTAAGAAATATGGAAAAGAGGCACATGTTTGGCACACAGGTAGCATTTGCTCATCTCTGTAGCCCCATGCATCACTACTCTTCATACCCTGTCCCATCTATACCACTCCCTGATCATAGTTTATAATTATTTCCTTGAATACATCCCCCTCTCTCCCAGCTCTGAATTTGCAAGCGCTGCCCCCTTTGCTGACAGAGTGAGACAGCATTTCACTCTGTCACCCAGGCTGGAGTGCAGTGGTGCGATCACAGCTCACTGCAGCCTTAACCTCCCTGGTTCAATCCATCCTCCTACCTCAGCCTCCCAAGAAGCTGGGACTACAGGTGTGTGTTACCACACATGTCTAATATTTGTATTGTTTGTGGAGACAGGGTTTCACTATGTTGTCCAGGCTGGTCTTGAACTCCTAGACTCAAGTGATCTGCCTGCCTGCCTTGGCCTCTCAAAGTGATTACAGGCCACTGTGCCTGTAAATCAGGATTATGAGCCACTGTGCCCAGCCTCCCCTTTGCTTCTGAGTGTCACTCTCTGTCCAGTGAACATTTCGCCTCACAGGAGGCAACACAGTCACTGGTTGTTCCAGGGCTCTCCCTGATAGCCCTGGGCTTGGCGAACCTTCTCTCTTCTGTCCTCCCAGAGCTTCTGTTCTTGCCTCAGTTACAGTTCTGTTGGGACAGGACTATGACAGTGTATTTACTTCTGTTTTCCCTACACACTGTAAGTATTCAGGGTGTAAACAACACACCTTATGACTCTGTTCCAAATGTCTAGACAGATGACATACCTCTGTGAAGGAATGGATATATATATCCATCCTAAAGCTTTCAAAGGCATGAAACTCTTTGTTCAACACAAGATTTTTATAACAGATACTTCCTGAAAGTCTGTCAATCAAAGGTCCTATTGACTTATATGGTTATCTCATAAAATGTACTCCATCAAAAAGATATCTCTAAAATATAGCAATTTCACATAGCAAGTGCTATGGTTTGAATGTCATATCCCTTCCACAGTTCATTCTGAAAGTTAATTACCATTGTGGCGCTATTATAAAGTGGGGCCTTTGGAAAGCAATGAAATCACAGCGGCTTTGCCTTCATGCATGGATTCACGCCCTGATCCAAGAGGCTTCGGAGGTCTGCCCTCTCTTGCCTTTTGTCCCTTTCACCGTGAGGACACAGCAATGCTCTCTTCAAAAGGAAGCCACAACAAGGCATCATTTTGGAACAGAGAGCAGCCCTCACCATACAACTTGCTGGTGCCTTGATCTTCAACTACCCAGCCTCCGGAATTGTGAGAAATAAATTTCTGTTCTTCGTAAATTACCTAGTCTCAGGTATTTTGCTACAGCAGCATAGACTAAGATGGCAAGCCTAAAATTCACTTTCAGAGTATAGTCTTTGTTTTATAATATAGCTTTTATACAAAAAAGGAAATGAATACTAATGATTAGCATATATATTAAAACCACCTATATAAAGAAGGCTTAAAGAAAACAGTCTAAATTGCAAATACTAATCTTCTGATGACTTTATTATGTTATTAACCACTGTATATGTTTTATAATTTTTAGTATTTTTCAAGTAGACATTGATTATTTTTATAATCAGAGAAATGTTTTTAAAAATTTTTATTTTTTAGGCGAGAGCACAGTTCACTGTAGCCTTGGACTTCTGGGCTCAAGTGATCCTCTAGCCTCAGCTTCTGGAGTAACTGGGACTACAGGTACAAGCCGCCACACCTGGCTAACGTTTTAAGTTTTTTGTGGGGACAGGGCCTCGTTATGTTGACCAGGTTGGTCTCAAACTCCTGCGCTCAAGCGATCTACCTCAGCCTCTCACAGTGTTGGGATTATAGGCATGAGCCACTACGCCCAGCCAGAAAAAAAATATTTAAAAAGGCATATATAAAGTAAGTGATTTTGAGCAAATAATTTCTGTTTTAGGGAGTTTGTGATATTGCGGTATTTAAACGTTTAAGCAGCCACAATGTTGTTGACACTGTCCCAAAATTGTAATATAATTACCTAAATCAATTGCCTTTCTGCACCCAAAAACCCAGTGTGACTCTATTTAAGAGATATTTTAAAAAGACCCTGTTACTGTCTTTTAAAAATATCTATGAAATAGGTTTTGAAAAGATGAACTCTAGGCTTTGGTATCACATCACTTGCCTGCGTAAAAAATATAAATAAAACATTGAATGTATATTAACAACTATGATATTGTCTCTTTTTGTTTATTTTTCTGGATTAGTATCACAAGACAGCAATCAACAGAAAGCTGCAGGAGACCTAAAATGCTTACATGCAAGCAGCCCTGATGCTCAAATGAAGTCCTGCTTAGTTTACTGGGAGAAATCAGACTGTGTTAGTTAAAGGGGCATCATTTGCCCCTATATGGGGCAAAAATTTGATATGCCTATAAAAGATGGATTTACAAGAAAGACAGAATTTAGAGTAAAAATTCTTATTAAAAAATCTTGAACAGTAAAATACGGCTTGGTCATGCAAACTAGATCGGGGTTGGCAAATGTTTCCTGTTATGGGCCAGAGAGTAAATATTTCAATTTTAGGTTTTGTGAGCCAGGAGGCAAAATTGAGGATATAGGTAGTTATATAATGAGAGAGGGAAAAAAAATCAACAAAATTTCACTAAGTTAAAAATGTAGTAATCATTGAGTATAATTTTTTAAATAACAGAGATTTACTGATGAGAAAAATAAAAATATTTATTTTGGGCAAGGGATTTTTAATTGGGGTTCAAAGTTAACACCGCAACTGTTCATCTGTTAATGACCATCTGTAATGAGATTTTTACATTTCAATGCAATAGATCTGTATGTAATGAGATTTATAATTCATCTTTGAAAATGTCTTTTCAAACAGGTACCACAGCTAACGTATCAATGCATAATAAACAATGCTTTGCCATCTAATTAAAAAATAAAACAATCCCCTATGCACAGTGCTTTAGAAGTATAATGTTAAAAGTCCACTTTTCTTGTTTTGATATGAAGGCCATATACTGACACCAAAAAACAGTAAAATGTCACGATATGGTGCTATGCATGTCCACTCCAAATACTATCACATTATATGTATCTCACTGTGCTTTGCAGTGTTATCAAACAGCAGTGTGAAGTTGAAGAGAGAATACTTTTGTAAAGTCTCTGTTGCAACTACTCAATTCTGGTGCTGCAGCATAAAAGCACTCATTGATAATACGTACACATATGAATATGACTGTGTTCCGATCAAACTTTTATGAAATTTGAATTTCATATACTTTTCACTTCATGAAATATTATTCTTTGGATTTCTTTTCATCCATCAAAAAATGTAAAAACTACTTTTAGCTGATAGGCTGTAAAAAACAGGCAGTGATAGTGGGCTCTACCATCGGGCCTGGGGAACCACAGTTTGCTAACCCCAGAAAGGTACGATATAGGTATCTACATTCTTACCTTCTGGCAAGCTGCCTTAATTGTTCAGCACATTCACTGTCTGATTTCTGGTTTATAAGTTCAAGGATGTTCATGGTTCTATGAAAATGGCCACATGATAAACTCACACTAACAGCTGTTTCATGTTTATCTCCAGTAAGTACCCATACTTTGATACCAGCCATTCTCAATGCTTCAATAGTTTCTCGAACTTTATCTTGTAGTCTGAAAAGAAAAGAAACAAGTTTGTAGAAGAAAATACTTTTATGACTGTATTTTAAGTTAAACTACATAGTATTATATTTAAGGTTAATTCTAAACTCCTTGACGTATCTCATCATAGTGAGATACGTATAGTGTTATTGTACAATATAGCAATATAACTGGAATTTTCTCTCATTAGAACTCCTATTTTGCGGGCGCGGTGGCTCAAGCCTGTAATCCCAGCACTTTGGGAGGCCAAGGTGGGTGGATCATGAGGTCAAGAAATCGAGACCAGGATTGGTGAAAACCCATCTCTACTAAAAATACAAAACATTAGCTGGGCATGGTGGCACGTGCCTGTAATCCCAGCTACTCAGGAGGCTAAGGCAGGAGAATTACCTCAACCCAGGAGGCGGAGGTTGCGGTGAGCCTAGATCGTGCCATTGCACTCCAGCCTGGGTAACAAGAGCAAAACTCTGTCTCAAAAAAAAAAAGAACAAAAAAAAACTCCTATTTTATTAAGAAGTCTTACATTTAAAATCAGAAGATTTTTCTCTTCTGGTTTTGATTAAAAAAAATCTCTCAAACCACTCATAGTTCAAAAATCAGACTGTAGAAAACTAAGGTCTAGATAACTTTAGGTGAATCTCAGAAATCTTATAAAGACAACCAAAAAGTAAATGAAAACCTAGATTTAAAAAATATGCAAACACCCTTAGGTCTACATGGTGGAGGCAAACATGACAACAGACCTAATCTGTAGAATTTCATCTCACAGAATTCAGCGAAATTTAAGAAACTGTGAAACAGACATTGAGTTAGGTGCTGGGAACAAGGACAAAGAATAAATGGACTTCAAGGATTTCACACGTTAACAGAGAAGTCTTTAAACAAATAATTATATTTGTTTAAAATATATTTGTTAAAATATAAAATATAAAAATATAAAATATAAAATATAAAAATAAAATATATTTGTTAAAGTGCCACAAAGACAACAACAGAACTACCTACAATGATACTTTACAAAGAAGATAATTTTTAATCCTCTTAGGTGTCAGGAAAGGTCTTAATGGAGTGGGGCTAATATCTGAGCCATACTTTATGAATAGGTAGTCACAGATGGATGGTGAAGGGAAGAATCACCCAGGCAGAAGGACAACAAAGGCACAAAATAGAATAGTTTTAACTACAGGTGGCGTGCAGAGGCAGTTTGGTATTGATGAAACATAAAGTGGAGGGGGACAGTTGTAGGAGGGAAGGCTGGAGAATTAAGCAGGTGCTTAAAGTCTTTGCATGACATGCTGAGAAGTATTCTAAAGATTCAAGCCTATAAGAAAAACTATAAAGCTGGTTTCCTTCGTCTAGTTCAGAAATCTGGCTAGAATAAAAATTGCATATCTTGACTTAGAAAAATTAAGACTTTAGTTCTCTATTTTGATCTTAAATATATTATCATATGATGTTAGTAAAGAGAATTTGTGTCATATATTAGAACACTTGGTTAGAAAAATTCTTATGAAAGAAATAATACTGTTTACTTATCTGAGTTACCTGTCTTCTACTGCTGTGGCTCCAAGTAGTATCAGGTCTTTCTCTATGAACTGGAAAACATCTGCTAATTTATCTTCCCGCTGCTGCAAGGCAGTCCTGGCTTCAAATATGCGTTTATCTATTTCTTCATACTCTTTTGATGTAAATTTTCTATATGCTATACACAGAGTTCTTAGCCCTTTCTAAAATAAACAAACAAAACTTAAAGGCAAAAACTGAACACAAATAGCTAACAGAAAATCAGGAAGTCATTACCCAAATATACTGAGGACCTATTACCAAAAGTCAATCACAGATCATTTAAAAAGTACTATCATCTAGTGACAGGAAATAAAGTGTCACAAAGTCCTACTAATGTGAGTTACAGGGCACATACACCTCTTTCAACTTCTGATGTTTTCTTAAGTTGCTCAGAATAATTAAGGTCACTGAATTGTAGAATGTAATAGCCTAGAATGGATCATAAAGACTATCTTATTAGTGGTTTTTAAACTGTGTTGCATGAAAAGCCAGAAAATTCTAGAATGATGCCTTCAAGACTGTCAAGAGAGAGACAGCTGCAGGTTTTACCTTCCTGTTTTAACTTACAATTCCATTTTACCTATTTCAGAAGATTTTCTTAAGCAAAGAGGATTATAATTTCCTGAAGATTCACTGTATGACAAAATTTGCCTTTCAAATAAATAAGTCAATAAAATGGCCATTATAAAAAAATACTTATTTATCTAACAAATTATTTTAAGTAATATATCTTCACCAGTGAATTGGAATCAGAATTGATTATCTAATTCTACTAGGCTCAAAATTTTCTTATAGTATTCATTTCTGAAAGCTGGTAACTAAATCTAATGACTTACAAAAGTCCTTTTTCTTGCTATATGCATTTTCCTCAGGAAAACCAATAACAAATATTCTTTTTTATTTTTAGAGACAGTATCTCGCTCTGTTGCTTAGGCTGGAGCACGTGGTGTGATCTTGGCTTACTGTAGCCTTGAACTCCTGGGCTTAAGTGATCCTGCTGCCTCAGCCTCCTGAGTGGCTAAGACTATAGACATGTGCCACCACACCTGGCTATTTTTTGGTAGAGACAGGGGTCTCGCTACATTGCCCACGCTGGTCTTGAACTCCTGGCCTCAAGTGATACTGCCTCAGCATCCCAAAGTGCTGGGATTACAGGCATGAGCCACTGTGCTGAGCCCCATAATAAATATTCTAATAACAACTTGGAAAGGGTAGACTTAAAAATACTGTATGACACTATTTAGCAGATTTACAAATACTACCATTCCCTGACTTATAAATGACCCATACCTATAAATGTGCTTCTTTCAATAGTTAAAGGACTGTCTGTTATTAATATGTAAATTAATTCATTCTATAACAAATACTTTCTGAACATCAACTATGTGCCAGCATTATTTTAAATGTTAAAATGGTAGTAAGGCAGAATAATGTCTTTGTTCTCAAGGATGTTATAATGTGGTTAAGTAAACTGGAACATAAACAATTAGGAAACAAATTATGGGAGAAAAATCATAAACTGTTAAAGGCAGATGAGCAGAGGTATGGGGCATACATTTATAGACATGCAAAAATGAGAGATCATGAAGTTCTAAGACTGAGAGAGACCTGCGTAATAATTTTGCTATTTAAATGAATGATGGCTCTTTGACTTAGTAAGATTCCCCTACATTTTTTTACTTTATAAATAAGAGAGATATAATTCACATACCATAAAATTCACCTCTTCAAATAGTACAAATCAGTGGTGTTTTTTTTTTTTTTTTTTTTTGCATATTCACAGAATTGTGCAATTATCACCACTATCTAAATCCACAACATCTCACTGATCCCACGAGGACTCTCCTTTCTCTCCTTCCTCCAGCCCCTGGCAACCATTAATCTGCTTTCTCTATGAAATTGACTATTCTGGATATTTCATATAAATGCAATGTATGGCCTTTTTTGACTGGCTTCTTTCACTCAGTATAATCTTTTCAAGATTCATCCATATTGTTGCATATATCAGTACTTCATTCAACAGCCAAATGATATTCCATTATATGGATATACCACATTTTGCCTATCCACTCATTAGTTAGACATTTAAGTTATTAGAAATAATGCTGCTTATGAACACTCATGTATAAGGTTTTTTTGTGGACATGCTTTCAGCTGTCTTAGGTGTACACCCAGGAGAAGAACTGCTGTGTCATACAATAAACTCTATGTTTACCTTTTGAGGAACTTAGCCAAATTATTTTTCAGTGTGGTTGTACCATTTATACTCCTACAAGCAATATATGTATAAGGGTTCCAGTTTCTCCACATCATTAGGATTCCCCTGTATTTGTTTAATAAATACCCTTTTAAAATAGCGTAGTTTGAGTAGACCTTGCAACCTGACTGTATTCAGGGCTGTATACTGTATACAAGCCTTGGCTGCGGAATAGGTTTGAAGAGAAGATACATTTTGCAAGTAAACCCAGCTTTCACAAAAGGAATGTGGAGCCGATACACGGTGTAACACAACTGCAGAATTTCTATAATTTTTGATAAATTATAAAAAATAAAGTCCCAAATCTTTCATAAATATATCTTTCCCAGTGTTTTACATCATAGAAATTTGCACTTACCAAAGCAAATTCATCTACATGAATTCTGGTTTTTTCTATTTCTCCACCTATACATTTAGGGAGAATTGATGACTCGGCTCCCTTAGCAAATAACAACTTCTCACCTGGAGACAAAAAAAATGTGTTATCAAACTCCTAATAAGACATAAATAACAATTCATGAAAGTTTAGATTGGTTACCTGAAGGTGCCTGAACAATTACACTCATTCTCCTACGATCTGAATCAAATTCCAGAATATGAAGTAGTTTGTACCTAAAGAAAATAAGAAAGACAAAAACTTACTTTTTTTGAATAATATTAAGTGACTATATGGAAATAATCCATATATAAGATAAAATGGCTAATTTAGAACAAGAAATCAATGTCATTTTCATGATGATAGGTTACACATCATTAATAATAGGAAAGAAACAGAAGACACTGACACTGAGTACTTACCAAATGCATGTATTTCACATACTTTATGTCATTTAATAGCCATGAGAAGCCAAAGATGTAGGTCTTATCTCATTTTTATAGATGAGGATGATTAAACCCAGAAAGATTAAGTAATTAGCCTCAAGTCAGATGATCGTGTGAGTGGCAGAGCAAGGGCTGGAATCCAGATCAGCCCAGCCCCATGTTTTTTTCTGACTAAAAAAGGTGAGTGATTCTCAACCCTCTTTTCTATCCTAACACACCCGACAAACACAACACACATTAATATCAAAGGCTCATTACAGCAGTGACTGTGAACCTGGGTGTGTGCGTGTGCAGGGGTGCATTCCCTAGTGCCTCTCTAGGAAGGTATAGAAGAATTTGTGTGGCTAGGTGAGGTGTGGCTTAAAGTCTTCCAGATGAATCTTCCACAGGTGATTTACATATGAAATCTTTACATATCTCAAAGAAAAGCAGTGAGTTGAATAATGGTTTGTAAGTTAATGCAATAAGCTAGTCAGGCTCTCACATTAAATTAGCCGAGGAATGGGCCCTATTTAGTATGGAAAAGCATAGTTTGGAAAAGCACAGCTGGAATTGACACATGATCAGAACTGCTAAAACCATGAAAGGAGTAAGAATATTAAACATGAACTAATTTATCAAAGAATGAAAAAACTAGATATAGACTGCTGTTCCTTTGTGTGTGAAGGATAAAAATCACAGGAAATAGAAGGAAAGTTTTCTTTATTCAGTGAGTAGAAACCTATGAAACTCATTACCCAGGAGCATCTCAAAATAAATATACAAGTAAATTTGAGAATCATTAAGCTAAAATATAGATGAAATATTAAAGCAGACTACTATTGTAACTATGATGAGATACAATATAATATTAATATTCTAGAGCAGAGAGTTCAGTAACTTTTTCTGTAAAGGAGACGAGAGTAAATATTTCAGGCTTTGCAGGCCATATATAGTCTCTGTTGCATATTCTACTTCTTTTTAAAACAACCCTTTAAAAATGTAATGTGGGCCGGGCACGGTGGCTCACACCTATAATCCCAGCACTTTGGGAGGCCAAGGTGTGTGGATCTCTTGAGGTTAGGAGTTCCAGACCAGCCTGGTCAACATCTCCACTAAAAATACAAGTATTAGCCAGGCACAGTGGTGCATGCATGGAATCCCAGCTACTTGGGAGGCTGAGGCACAAGCATTGTTTGAACCTGGGTGGTGGAGGCTGCTGTAAGCCCAGATTGTGCCACTGCACTTCAGCCTGGGTGATAGAGCAAAATTCTGCCTCAAAAAAAAAAAGAAAAAAAAGTGATTTGTGGGCTGTACAAAAACAGAAAAGTAGGCCAGATTTGCCCTGTGAGCTATAGTTTACTGATCCCTATTCTGTATTACATACACTTAACACAGAGAACATTCCAATATATGAAAAAAATTACCGTTCCAGTTTTCCAAGCGTTTTAACTTCCATAGTTTCTTCAGAATTGCCAATAAATACAATACCAATCCTAGACATTAAAAGGATAAAAAACGGAGACTTAAAAACAACACTGCATATTTCACAATGTCACTATAGCTTAATTTGAATAAAAACATTTAAAATAAAAGTTTAAAATGCATTTTAAAATATTTTCTCTTAATAATACATCATTACTTTGGTGCCAGAAGTGCTGGTTGATGTCTGTAATCCCAGCACGGCGGGAAGCTGAGGCAGGTTGATTACATGACGTAAGGAGTTCAAGACCAGCCTGGCTAACATGGCAAAACCCCATCTCTACTAAAAATACAAAAATTAGCCAGGTGTGGTGGCCTGTGCCTGTGGTCCCGGCTACTCACGAGGCTGAGGCAGGAGAATCACCTGAACTCTGGGGGCAGAGGGTATAGTGAGCTGAGCTCACGCTACTGCACTCTTGGTGACAGGGTGAGACTCCATCTCAAAAAAAAAAAAAAAAATATATATATATATATATATGTGTGTGTGTGTGTGTGTGTGTGTGTATTTATATACATACTTTTAAGAACTAGAAAGATCAGAGTTGGTGTAGTACAACATATACACAAGCATTTTTCATAAATTCTATTACAATAGTACTCAGACTTTCAAAGAGATCTTAAAAAAAGATTCAATGCAAGCTTGATATTAAAATGACTTCAAATTCTCATTTAAAATTTAATTATACTTCTATTTTTATGTATTTATATGAATTCTGACAAAATGAATTTATGTTTGAAAATTTTAAATGATGACTCTAATACTGTTACACTTATTTAAAAGGTATTTTTCTGAAGGTTTGGAAATTAGACTAAATTACCTTGCAGCAGCTTCTACTAGAGCCTTTTCATCTGGTGAAGATGCATAGTACTCCAACTGTGAGGGTGCCAGGTTGGACTGCCAGGCACCATCACCAATGCATTCAGTCTGAACATTGCTAATCTGTACAGTGTGACAGAGACAGACTGCTTTAAAGAAGAGATCATGTTCTTTAATCTGTAAAAATATAATAAATATTCATGATAAAAATACCATTTCTAAATGCCATTTTTGGAAACCAGAAGCAGAATTCTAAGATCTAGAACAAGAGTGCTACAACCTTGATTGTCTGAACAGTTGGCTGTTTCTGCCTTCAGAAAGTAAAATGTCACATTTGCTTAGGACTCTTCATCACATGAACAACTTTTTAGGGGATACAACCAAACTGCAAGTAGAGGGGAACACTTTTTTATAGAAAAAGTGAGGTCTCAGAAAGTATTAAGTAAGTTTAAGCTCTATTTTTCAAAGAAAGTCTTCTTCGCTACAAGGCAGTTAGGAGCTTTTCTTAATTACGTTCCATTTAAATACTCAAAGAGCTGAGGCAGACACATTAAATAAACTGGGCTGTAACCACAGATTCTTAGGATATTTTATAGTGTTGAATCAAAGATATGAATTTCAAATATATATTCCTTGCTCCACTAACACAAACTTTTTTCCTGTAACTCATCAACTACTGAAGATAATTATTTCATTTGAAACCCTTATTTATTAATGTAAACATTACTTACTAGTTCAGTTTCATTTTCAGGACTGGTTCTGAAACAGGAACTGGATGTAAGATGAGATAAGTTGTTAAGATGGGATAAACTGCTAAGATAAGATAAGTTTCCTTCTGAAGAGTCTGGTGTTGGTCCTTCAGGTACAAGTCTACCATTGATTTCTTGGTATTTCATGCCATTAATTGAACATTCCCGAAACTGCATCTCATTTTCTGTTAGTGTACCAGTTTTATCTGTGAACAGGTACTCTACCTATACAGATAGAAAACAAAAGAAAATAAACCCTTGTCTTCATGGTCCTATGTTAAACAAGAAAAAAAAATTCCTGTCCTCGCTCTCCTGAAATTGAGTTTATCTATTAATAATGATATATGGATGCTACGATTCTTATAATCCAAGCACAATTAAATAAAGATGCCAAGAAAAGAAAACAGGGTAACACAAAATAGTTTAAAGCTACATAGATAGATTTTGACGTTTGTGTCATCTTTAGGTACTTGTTTATCTGTAGAACTGACTGAGAATTTGGTACTAATGCGTATTTTCTGTTTCTTGGCTGAGGTATTTTAAGTGGTAAAACTCAAGAATTATCTCTGAAGCAGGGTGGAAAGGATGCTTAATAACATAGAATGTGAAAGTGTATCCTAAGTGAGGAGAAACAGTGCAGAGCTGGGAACAGGAATACACAATGATAGCGATAGCAACACAAGACATTAGTGGGGCCAACTGTCTAAAACAGAAGTTGAAACTGAGGACAGACAACAAATTTAGAGAAAAGAATGAATGTTTAAAAGAAAAATATAGTACTTTTAAAAGTAGGTAAGACAAATTATTTTATTACTTTTGGAGATTAATTCCAGAAAAATTTCTTTAAAAGAAGGTAGGTCAATGAAAAGAAGGACGTAATGGTCAAGTCTTGATCCAGCCAGGATCATCAGAAAATTTGGTTACTGCAATAATGACTTGAGAAAGAAGTCCTTTAAAAAGGGATGTAGAAATCACAAGAAAAGAAACAAGCTGCAGACCAACATCGCTTATAAAGAGATGCAAATCAACTCCAGAAACACATAAAAAAAATTATATACTACAAATATGTGGGATTTATCCCAAGAATTGCAAGATTGACTCAACATTTTAAAAAAATCAATGTAATCCATCATAGTAATAAAATGGTACTTGACCTTCATTTTATTAATAAAATAACCACCAAAATTGGTGCAGAAAAAGCATCTGATAAAAATCTAATGCCTTCATGATAAAAGCATTCAACAAACTAGGACTAACAAGGAAGTTCCTCAGCCTGATAAAGGGTATCTACTAAAAACTCACAGCTAACATCATACATCATGGAGAGAGAGACTGAAAGCTGTCTTCCTAAGATCAGGAATAAGACTGCTCTTGTTACTTTTACTCAACATTGTACTTAAGGTTCTAGCCATGATGATTAGGCAAAAAATGGGATATAAAAGTTAACATGACTGGAAAATACGAGATAAAACCATCTCCATTTCTACATGATATGACCTTGTACACAGAAAACCCTAAGAAATTCACTGGAAAAAAAAAAAAAAAAAGAATAAATGAGCTCAGCAAAATTCCAGGAAAAAAGATCAATATCCAAAAAGAAAGGTAGGGTTAAATTTGGCAAAATAAATGTTTTGACCAAGAAATAAAGATAAGTGAGAAACTGTACTTCAAGGCTCATATTTTGGGGAATAGTAAAGAAAAATATAACACGAGACACAGAAATTCTGCTATGTGTAAAATAATAATAAAAGCCAGTAATTGTACAGCACTCACTATATTCGAAGTACTGGTAAGTGTTTGAATTAATTAAATCCTCTCAACGACTCATGAGGTAGGCATAATGTACATTTTAGAGAAGAAATTAAGGAAGAGTAAGGCTAAGTAACTTTCTTAAAGTCAAAAAGCAAATAAATGGTGAAACTGGAAATAAGAGATAGAATATTTTATCTTTGCTATTTGATATTAAATTTTGTCCAGTATCTACAGCAATGTTGAGTTGGAATTTAAAGGTAAATATGAAGACCACATGCAAATTAAATAAAAAAAACCCACACATGTAGATCAGGAAGAATGAGGGATGACTTATAAAGAAAATATATAAGATACATTAGCAAGCAAACAAAAATAATACTCCAGAGGTGACTAGAATAGACTGACTTATCAGTAATGGAGGATTCTTTAGAAAAAAGTTTAGATGGTAGGGATGAATAAAATAAAATAACTTTGATTTAAAAGTATATATATAAAATCAAGAAGTTTAATCTTTTAATTTTGGAGATAAACAGGTCATCGCTGTAAACCCTCCTAAGAGTTGCTTCTTGGATAATATGAAAATAAAAAAGCATAGAAAAATATGAAATAAAGACTTCATTGGTACAAAGACAAAATAGGAATAGAAGCAATAAACATATAAGAAATACCTGCAGTTTCAAAAGCAGAAAGAGGGGCTGAGAAAATTAGTAATTAAAGAAATGATCACCAGAAGTTTCTTGAAGACAAAGCAGACATGGGAATGCATCCACAGTGTGAGGCTCCAGAAAAACAATTCTATCATGAAGGAAAAAGGAGGGCAAGAGAGAAGCAGAAACGGGTATGCATCCACAGTGTGAGGCTCCAGACAAACAAGAATTCTATCATGAAGGAAAAAGGAGGGGAAGAGAGTTGAGAAAGAAAAGGTCAAAGATTGGAAAAGCTTTGTTCAGAAAAGTAAAAATGGGCCTTTCAGTCTTAAATATATGATATATAATTAAAGAAATGTGACATGAATTATTACTTAACATAAATATTAAGGCCTCCTAAATGCTACTAAAAATAAATGGATCAACTTGTGGTTACACATGACAGGTTAAGCACATTTAATTATCTCTGCTTCTCTTATAACTTCACCGTGAGGATAAAAAAATAAAAGAAGAACAAAAATAACGGTAAAAAAGTCAACATGAGATGCAACATTGACACAAATTTGGAAGATCAAAAGGAAATGAACTTGTGATACTGATTTACCAGAACTTAGAATCTGAAACCCAAGTGATGAAGAAATCCATTCTTAAAAACTCTCAGGAAGTAACATACCACCCCTGAATGTGGGAGTACAGGATGAGGCTGAAAATACAGGGTATCAGGAGTAGTTTAAATTCTGAAGTCTCTTTAAAAGTTGCGAACTTCAGAATGCCCCTCATTTATTGGAGCAATGGCTAGTAGGTGTATTCCTTTAGTAGGCTGAACCAGAAAGAATCTGGACTCCACAGACAGCTGAACACAGAAGTTCGGCAGTGCACTAAAAACAGATTTCCACTGGCCAGCTCCAGCAGTGATAAGGAGCAGAAATACTACCTGCTGGGCTTGTCAGTCCATGACCTTAAGGTGTGGCTCACTGTATCAATAGCTTCTGATAAGCATATCACTGCCTCACTTTTTTTTTTTTTTTTTTTTTTGAGACAGGGTTTTGCTCCTGTCGCCCAGACTGGAGTGTAATGGCACAATTTTGGCTCACTGTAACCTCCACCTCCTGCACTCAAGTGATTCTCCTACCTTAGCCTCCCAAGTAGCTGGGATTACAGGTGCAAATCACTGCACCTGGCTAATTTTTGTATTCCAACTAAATTACGTATTTTTTGTTTTTGTATTTTTTTGTAGAGACGGGGTTTTGCCATGTTGTCCAGGCTGGTCTTGAACTCCTGGGTTCAAGTGATCCACCCACCTGGGCCTCCCAAAGTGCTGGGATTATAGGCATGAGCCACTGAGCCCAGTCTTTTGTTGTTGTTTTCTTTTTTTTTTTTTTGAGACAGAGTCTTACTCTGTTGCCCAGGCTGGAGTGCAGTGGTGCGATCATGGCTCACTGCAGCCTCGACTTCCTGGGCTCAAGTGATCCTCTCACCTCAGCCACCTAGGTAGAGCACTTTAAACTCGATGACAGCCAAAGACTAGCATTCATTTTAGGATCACTCCTTACATAAAAGGTAGAATCTGAAACAAATTATAATCAGTTCTGTTGTAACACTGTCTGAAAACACAAATTTATCCCAATGCAACTGATACATAAAGGGACAATTTGAACATAATGCAAACTTTGCTCAAATTTTGCCCAAACCTCAGTTACTATCTCAGTTCACCATGTGTTATGAGTCACACTCGACCACATCTGGTATTAAAACCTTCCCTCTGATTTCAGATAACCTTCTTTCTAACACTTAACAGTAACACACACAACCCTTCTGATGCCTGTCTTCCACAGGCAAACTTCAGATCTCTTCCAGGTTAGTGCCATATTCACTGCAGGATTTGTGTATTTATTAACAATTTGGCAAGTGCTATTTTTATTAGGTTTCTATTTTTTTTTTTTTTTTTTTTTTT